AAAACCTAGATGCTGGAGAAAGCTATAAATATCTTGGAGTTTATGAAAACCCAGAATTGTGTAATGATGAAATGAAAGAGACCATCAGTAAAGAATATCTAAGAAGGCTTAGGATGGTACTACGTTCAGACTTAACAGCACGAAATAAACTGCTAGCCATCAACAGTATAGCTGTTCCAATAGTAGAATACAGTTTTGGAATCATAGATTGGAGTCAGAAGGAAATTGCAGACCTAGATCGTAAAACAAGGAAGATGCTTACTATTCATGGACAGCTGCATCCTAGAGCTGATGTAGACAGGCTATATGTGAGTCGTAAAGAAGGAGGTAGAGGACTCAGGCAATTAGAGATGACTTATGATAATACAGTTGTATCCATAGCCAATTATTTAAGAAGCCGTAGAAATGATAAGTTAGTTAGACAAATTTGGAGATGTGAAAGGCACCCTCGAGTTGGAAAGTCAGTAGTCAAGTCAGCGATAAAAATTGTAAAGACACATTTACCGGAAATAGAAAATCAAGCGGTCGAGGATGAAGAAGAATTACTGTCTACAGATATTAAGGCCATGACAAGGAATACCTTGAAGGATAAATGGATACGAAAGCAGCTTCATGGTCAATACGTGAAGAGAATTAAGAGGCCAGGGATTAATGAATGCCAAACGTTTGCGTGGCTCACGAGAGGGAAGGTAAAAGGTGAAACAGAGGCCCTGATAACGGCCGCCCAAGACCAGGCCTTACGTACAAGACATTATGAGAAACATATCCTCAAAATAACAGCAAATGATAGATGTCGAATGTGCAAACAATACTCAGAAACAATAGATCATCTTATATCCGGCTGTCCTCAACTGGCGAAGCACGAGTACTTGGTCCGACATAATAAAATATGCATATACTTGCATCATGCCATCTGTATAAGCTTTGGGATCGCAGTGGAAGAAAAATGGTATAATCACAATCCCACTCCAGTAGTTAGTAAAGATGAGATTACCATAATATATGACTTACCAGTGCAAACAGATCGTGAGATATCCGCGAACCGTCCAGACATAATCGTCAAAAACCAACGTGACAAAACCTGCCTGCTAATAGATGTTTCAGTCCCCAACGATGAAAACGTTGTAAACAAAGAAGCTGAAAAGAAATTGAAATACAAGATCTCTCAATTGAAATCCAAAGAATGTGGAATCTGAGGACGAAGATAGTTCCCGTAATTTTAGGTGCATTAGGGACGATCCCAGACAATCTACATGAAAACCTAAATCTCATACCAGGAAGGCACAGGACAGCAGACGTGCAGGAAATTGCTTTGTATGGTACAGCAACCATATTACGTAAGACACTATAAGGTAATGGACTTCGTTAGGATGTGGGTAACATCTTCGAAGTAACATAATGAAAATGACCAACCAAAACCGGCCCACATGGACAGAACCAGTTGAATAGATAGGGCTGTGGAAAATAAACAAATAATAATAACTGTAATAATAATAATAATAATAATAATAATAATAATAATAATAATAATAATAATAGTAATTATAATAATAATAATAATAATAATTATAATAATAATTGTTGGAACGCGTACTAGCGTCACCCCGCCGCGCCGCTACTGGCGAGACGACCAGACAGGTTGCCTAACCTAGAAGCTTGTATCCGCCGTCCTGTCCCCGCGCGCCGCACCTCGGAATGCAGTCAATCGTGAAGAGTCAGTCGTGGGAGGCAGTCGAAGTACAACAGCAGCCAGCACACGCGCGCGGATCGCGGAACGCGGAAGCCCGGTCTACTCCTGTAGCTTATCTACCCATTCATGTACAAGTGCTGAATAAACTGTTCTGAACCGAAGACCACTGCGAGTTGAATTGCTCTGCTTACCTATCCTCAACAGGTTACGTGCCCAGAGACAGTGCTACGGACATTGAACAATTATTGCAAGTGCTGAAGATAATATAGGAAGTGTGTGACTAGTGTTATCAAACATGAGTGTGGCAAAAGTATCCTGTATAGACTCGCTTAGCAGGGATAACTACGACACGTGGAAAATACAGATGAGGGCATTGCTGGTAAGAAACGATCACTGGAGTTATGTATCTGGCGAGATAAAGCAGCCACGGATAGATGATGGGGACGAAGCATCCACGAGAGCTGTAGAAGCCTGGACTAAAGGTGACAGCAAGGCGATGTCGGACATAATTTTGTCAATAAGCCCCTCAGAAATCAAACAGGTAAAGAACTGTAATACATCCAAGGAACTGTGGCAAAAGTTGGAGGGTATTTACCAATCAAAAGGACCCGCTAGAAAGGCCACATTGCTCAAACAGCTTACACTGCAACGTATGGAAGAGGGACAGGACATACGATGTCATTTAAACTCATTTTTCGAGAAACGGAAGGCGCCATGTTCGTGAAGCGTAGTGATGTGTAGTTCGCGAACGAACTAGTTCAAACGAAAGATTCTTCTGACTGAACTAAATGAACTAGTTCCTCATTCCCCGAGAAACTCTTTCACTCGTTCACCACGAACTAACAGAACCGCCGCCGTTGCGAATCAACGAACGAAAGAGATAAAGAGAACGAAACAGGTTCAAGAGAAGAGAGGCGCTCTTGTGAACGAACGAAAGACCGAGAGTGGGATAGGAAAATGTTGCCAAGCTTAAAGAACTTTCGTGAGATCTAAGAATGTTCCATCTGCGGAGCAGAATTCGGAACTTTTCAGATGCAAAGAGTATTGCCAAGTGTACAGAACTTTAGCCATATCTAAGATTTGTCAACTATGGAACAGAATTAAGGACGCTTCAGATGTAAAATAAAGTTGTCATTTTATTTAGATGCGTATTATTGAGCAGCAGATACTATAATTTTTCACATTTCAGATGTACTAAAAAAAAGAAAGCAAACTAATATGGTATTCCTAGCGATCATTCATCCAAATATCAACCGTGCCGGATGCTGCTTAGCCCCTATAATAATAATAACGATAATAATAATAATAATAATAATAATAATAATAGTAATAATTTTTTTAACAAAGCTGAAATTTAGACAACAAATGCTATCTACTGCTCGAAATTGAATAAAGCATCTAGTAAAGCTGTTGAAATTTATCATATTATAAACGGGAATCGGCAACCATGTCTACTGCCTACTATAGGCTGTATATGCGTTGCGTAATATATTTCGTTCGCGAACTAGATGACAACGTAGTCACCTTTAACCGTTAATGTATGGTGTACTATGTGTTGCATAAATCTAGTTCGTTCGTGAACTAGTTCCTAGAACTAGTTCGTTTCGGTGAATGAGATCTATTGAACTAGTTCACCGAAATGAACTAAAAAGTACATCACTAGTGAAGCGGAATTATGGGAAAAATCACGGTCACGCAGGAAATGGCGGACGGGGCAGTGGCGTCTCGGAAGGTACACGAGGCAGCGGCGTCTCGGAAGGTGCACGAGGCAGCGGCGTCTCGGAAGGCAGAAGAACGTTCAGGTATAAGTGTCACAGATGCCGAAAAGTAGGCCACAAGGCCGCTGAATGTCCCAGACAAAGGTAAGACTGTTGCCAATTCTTACAAAAGTGAAGCGAACTGTTCCGAACACGTGGGACTCGTTACCGCGGAATGTTATCATGTTGAACAGAATCACAAAAGACTGAAATGGTGTCTAGACAGTGGCGCAACGTCTCACTTATGTAAAGACATTAGTTGTTTTTCTGACCTTGAACGTAGACATGATCATTTGAATTTAGCAAATAGTGAATTTACGGACATTACAGGTTCCGGAACAGCCACGTTTGTTGCTGACGTTTTTGGCGACACGAAAAACATCTCACTCCATAAAGCTTTTCATGTTCCCGACCTAAGAGTAAACTTACTTTCTGTTGCAAAGATTACCGATAAAGGATTTGAAGTTTTATTCAAGAAAGAAAATGCTTTGATCTATGATAGTAATGGTGATATAAAAGTTGTAGCCGATCGTAGTGGCGATTTATACTACGCGAGAGAAGGCGAAGCGCAGAATAAATCAGCTTTCATTTCGACCATGAATTCTAAAAATGTCAAACTATGGCATCGTAGATTAGGACATTTGAACTTTCAGGATTTGAATTCTTCATTGAAGAAAGGAAGATTAGGTGGAGTAAATATTGAAAATATGCCTAATAATGGGGAACTTAATTGCGAAATTTGCATACGCGGAAAAATGACGCGTTCACCATTCCCGAAGAAGTCCGACAGGGAATCGGAAATGCTAGAAATCGTACATACTGATGTTTGCGGTCCCATGCGTTTAGAATCTCACTCGAAGTACAAATATTTTGTCGAATTCATAGATGATTATTCTAGGTATTGCACGGTATTCTTCATGAAACATAAAAATGAAGTTGTGCGAAAGACTCAGGAATATATTACACTGGTCGAAAACCAAAAGAACAAAAAGATAAAGTGCATCCAATCTGACAACGGGACGGAGTACACATGTAAGGAAATGGAGGATCTCCTGAAAAAGCACGGAATTTCACGTCGCTTGACTTGCCCATACACTCCGGAACAGAACGGTATAGCGGAGAGGAAGAACCGCACTCCCTTGGATACAGCACGTTGTCTAATCATGCAGTCCGGCTTACCTCCGATCTTTTGGGCCGAAGCCATCAACACGGCCAACTATTTGCGGAACAGATGTCCATCCAAAAGTCTGAACGGGTTAACACCATACGAAAAGTGGACTGGAAAGACTCCCGACGTTTCGCATCTCAGAGATTTTGGTTGCAAGGTCTTCTGTCTAAACCAAGATCAGGCCAAGGGGAAGCTATACGCAAGATGTAAGGAAGGAATTTTCATAGGGTATTCGGAACAAACGAAAGGATACAAGGTCTGGTTGCCGAAGGAGAATAAATTCGTAGTCACGAGGGATGTTAAGTTCTTGGAAAACGCAGAAGTCATAAGCCAAGAATGGACAGATTTTATTCTGGAAGGATCATCCAAGGAGAATGAATCTGAGATGCATACTATCGAGGTACAGCTATCCCCAGTTGTCGAGAACGAAAATCCAGAACATGAATCTCCTACAACGGAACAAGAGCCCGAGGTTGATCACGATTCTGAGCCACCCAGGCGTGCCCGCGGGAGACCCAGAATTCGGCGAACTGGTTCGAGGGGAAGACCTAGAAAGATATACAGGTACAGGACACCCCCGAGAGGTTCAGCACTCTCTTCTGAAGAGGTATTACTGTCCGAGGTCCCGATGCATCAGGCAGTCAGAGGCGAGGACGCTGACGAATGGCACAAGGCGATGGCAGACGAAGTGGCATCTATCTTGAAGAATGGTACTTGGGAATTAGTCGACCGACCATGTAACCAGCACATCGTTGGAAGCCGTATTGTCCTGAGAAACAAGTACAAGCCTGATGGAACTATCGAAAGGAGGAAGGCAAGATTAGTCGCTCGGGGATTTAGCCAAAAGCCCGGAACACATTTCAACGAGACTTTTGCCCCTGTAGCAAGGCTTAGCTCCATAAGACTTGTATCTGCCCTAGCAGCACATTTAAATATGGACATGCAGCAACTGGATGTTACCTGCGCATACTTAAATGGAAGTCTAGATGAGACGATTTACATGGAAACCCCCGAATATTTGGATGAATCATTGAAGATTATTTGTGATAACTCCAAATACAACGAGGCTACCAGAAAGAAGGCTCGAGATACCTTGAACACACTGGGAAAAGGTGATAAAGTATGTCTACTTAGGAAGTCACTATACGGCCTGAAGCAAGCCGGTCGGAGCTGGTATCAGAAACTAAGCCAGACACTTAGTGAATGTGGTGCAAATCCAACTAAGTCCGACCCATGTGTATTCACTAGTAAAACAGGGAAAGACATTATGATAATTGTCACTTATGTAGACGATCTGATTATCGCATCACGTGACAAAAAGGCAATATCGTCCCTAAAAGCCAAATTATCTGAAGGATTTGAAATGAAAGATCTGGGATCAGTTAATCATTGCCTAGGGATGGAATTTTCACTAAAGAAAAACAAGATAAGTCTTAGCCAGAGAGCATATATCTTGGAAATACTAGATCGATTCAACATGGCGGATGCGAACACTGTAAGCACTCCACTTGATCCAGGAACGAAGTTAAGGAAACCGACGGAGAGCCCATCTAGTGAAGAGCTGAAGTTACCTTATAGAGAGCTTTTAGGTGCGCTAACCTATCTATCGTTGGGAACGAGACCCGATATTAGCTTTGCCGTAAGCTACTTAGGACAGTTCAACAACTGTTACACTAAGGAACACTGGACAGCCGCAAAGCGAGTACTTAGGTACCTGAAGGGCACCATCGATCACTCGATAGTATACCAACGAGAAGACATGAATCTGAGAGGATTCGTTGATGCTGATTGGGCAAACTGCCCTGACGATAGGCATTCGTATACCGGATTCTCATTCATCCTATCAGGCGGACCCGTATCGTGGAAATCGAAGAAGCAAGCCACAGTGGCATTGTCTACCACCGAGGCGGAATATATGGGTACCACCGAAGCTGCCAAGGAAGCAATCTACTTGGGCAAGTTCATGACCGAACTTGGGTTCGAAAGACTCGCTAACGTAACCCTGTATAGCGACAATATGAGTGCTATAAAATTGGCCGAGAACCCAAGATATCATTCCAGAAGTAAGCACATCGACATACGTTACCATTTTGTGCGGGAGGCCTTGGAACAGAAGAAGTTGAAGCATACTCCATCTTCTGAAATGGCCGCAGACGTATTGACGAAGGGGTTGTCGAGGACAAAACATCGGAAGTGCATGGAACTTTTGGGATTACAGACGACGGACCAGAACCTGTATGTGTCTGCTACGTCTCGAGGGGAAGTGTTGGAACGCGTACTAGCGTCACCCCGCCGCGCCGCTACTGGCGAGACGACCAGACAGGTTGCCTAACCTAGAAGCTTGTAACCGCCGTCCTGTCCCCGCGCGCCGCACCTCGGAATGCAGTCAGTCGTGAAGAGTCAGTCGTGGGGAACAGTCTAAGTACAACAGCAGCCAGCACACGCGCGCGGAACGCGGAAGCCCGGTCTACACCTGTAGCTTATCTACCCATTCATGTACAAGTACTGAATAAACTGTTCTGAACCGAAGACCACTGCGAGTTGAATTGCTCTGCTTACCTATCCTCACAATAATTATAATAATAATAATCTCTAAATATTTGCATGGACTAAATAGTAACGAAAACAAAAATTTAATAAGTACCAGATTAAAAGCAGAATTTGACCTTTGGAAGTCACGTACACAAGATATTATAGTCAGTGGAATGTCACTGTATTTATCATGTGATGAAAACATTTCAATTAATAGATGCCTACAGTTATTGATTTCATTGCCGGTAAGTTTGCGACATCTAAAAGAAGTTTCTCCCATCTAAAGAGGATAAAAACTTTCTGCGCTCCAGTATGTTACAAGAGCGATTAGTGGGTTTAGGTCTTTTGTATATGCATAGGGATATTAAAAGAGGCGTGAATACAATCATAGATCGGTTCGCCAGCAAAAAGAATAGGCGCCTTGATTTTGTAATATGATAACACCTGAACTTTGTCTAAGGTTGTCTCTCAAATCCATCTCCCTTTTGTTGGCCAATAAATAAAAAACCAGATGTAGTTAAGGGTTTACTTACGTGTAAACCACCACGGTGATCTTTTCCAAAGTATCCAATCAAGATATGTGGTTTTATTTATTGGCCAGCAGATTGATAAAAGTATGTTCAAATTCTGTTCAAATCACTTTCTAAGCTAATATAATGTTTTATTTTGAGACTGTGAACTGACGTAGTTTCATAGTTTATATGTTTTTGTTTTTGAGACTGGCTAAGAGAATGTATTTTTGCATTCAATATTTTTTGTGTTTTTCTCATGATTAAGAATTTTATTTTGATTTACATTCAGTTTTATACTTTATTGAAGTCGTAACATATTTGTTATTGTTACTTTTTTCATGAAGATGTATTTTTTGTTGTTTTGTCTGACATTGTTATGTAGAAAAGTCTGTGATAGATTATATTATTTTACTTTTGTTTTAATATATGAAGATTGTTCGAGCTTGGTTTGCTTTATTTACACTTTGATTTCGTATGATTCAAAATTGAAAAAAAATGTATGTATTTTCTACAGAAATTACTGTAACAAATTCAAATGTCTGCATATGTCCATGCTTTTAATTTTAAATCATTATAACTCTTGAGTACGTCACACTGAGAATTTACTTTCCATTTTACCCCTCCCAGACTGAAATTCTGGGAGCGCCACTGGTTCAGCTGTTTCGAAACTGACACTCCATTTTTCCCATATTTTTGAAGGAAATTCATATAGTATGTTCAGAAGACAGCTGCTCAGGGTGCTATCGGAGCACTTTTTGACATTTTGTTTTTGCGCAAGATTTATGGTGGGTTAACATGCTTACTTTTTTGTGGAACTTTGCGATTTTTTTAAAAAAGAGCCTAGCAAAAAAATGAAAAAGTGGCTCGATAGCACCCTGTAGAATTTTGTTTTAAGCACACTGTAAAAATTTCATTCAAAATATTGAAAAATGAAGCGTCCGTTTCTACTAATTGGATTTCTGGAAGTTCTGCAGATAGGCGTTCATAATCGCGATCGCTGATGCGTAACTAATCACGTAAATGTAACTACTGAACTTATCCTCAGGTTGTCTCTCTGATATCTCTAGCTTACACTGGACAATAAATGAAACTTCAGGTGGTGAATATACTGATTTCCTGACGTTTACGCTGCTTCGGCAAATTACAAATTTTAACTCCTCTATCTTAAAGCAGTTATACTTCCCACGCCAGTGTCTGCTAATCCTTTGCCCGTGTATAACTTGGAAATTACCGATCGAATTTTTATGTATTTCCACACAGGGTTACTACTATTGCCAAAGTTTCGTAGTTTTAGCCCAGTGGCGGTTAGTATCGTTGAAACTCCGTTTTTGACGTTTCAGGGGTTCCTAATCATTGTCACAACAAAATTGTCGTGCTTAAAAAGTGGGGGTTATAGAAGGTGATTATAAATGTTGCATCTTTATCAGTGAAACACGTTCTATTATTAAGAAGCTTCTGATCCCAGTGATTAAAGGAAATTTAAGTAACGAAAATCCGATGACTAATGTGCTCACGATTTGACAAAATCGGTACCTGCGATATAGGTTTGACACCGAGAGCCAACAGATCTGCAACTGCCGATAGTAGGGAGGAATAAATTCGGATATTTATAATGGGAATTATTAGGTCCTTGGAAATAGGTAATCACTTCAGCGAAGTATAGGGGAATTTAGCGTTGAACTTTAAAATCCTCGATTTGCCTAATAAATATGTTTTTGAGAATGATAATTTAGCGGAATTTATACCTAGATTTTGATCTGAATTTCATGACCCATCATGAATGTAGCCATTTCGCCGTAACTTCAATTTGTGTTGTGCAGTATGTGATGTTTCTCTGGATATAAGCAGAGACATCCATATTCCCGTAGATAAAAACATTACTCCCAATGACGTGATAACGAGAAGGAATTGTAGATTCACTCGGTACGGCGGCTGCGATTTAGTGAGTTGCAAGCCAATTATAAGGGTTCAAAAACATGAGTTTAACCCGTAACTGGTGAGGTTGAGTCTATCAGACTCCGGCAGATATTTTTTTTGCTATAACTACTTTTTGTATCAAGTGACAACAATGTACGCCTATTTAACTTTAGTTTGGATATGCGAGTCCTGTTTGACACGGTGGTTGCAGATCTACCTGAAACATGTGTTTGGGTGCTTGTGTTTTTATACGTCAAGGAGTCCCACGGGCTCCACCTCACTCTTATCGTAAGTTTTTGTGGTTGATAATTTTAATGTTTGTTTTTACATATATGATATTTTAGAAGGAATTACGTGCCAGTACATTAAAAGAGACTGTTACAATAAACGCTAAAGACTATGAGAGTACACTCACGATGGTATAGCAGTGAAATTGTGAGTGACCACGACAGCGACAGCGAGGAGACTCCGGATGATGACGATCAATTTCTGCTCAACGATGGTATAACGCAGAAGTCATTTTCAAGTGAAAATAGCTTTAACGATTCGACTACAGAAACACACTTTTATGAAAAAAAAACATAAATGGTCCTTTATGGAATCAACAAGAAATGTGCCTACAGTCAGCCATAATATAATTCTTACGCTACTTGGTCTCAAAGACGAAGCTCTAAATTCAGAACATGAAGCAAATCCAGTTAAAATTTTGAGCACTTCGTTCATTGAAAAAATAATAGCCATTATCGTAACTTCTACGAACAAAAAATTGGAACAAATTCGTCAAAAATACAGCGGCCCATCACGAGTATATATGAAGAAGGTTAACGATAATCATCAAATTTGATGTTTATAATAAAATTTATAACAAACCAAACATAAATACATACTATACTATTTCGTATTCTAAAAATATACTCGAGAGTCTTAAAAACTCCACATCACACTCAACGTGATAAAAGTGGTTACGGGTTAATGACAGAACTATAAAAAAATCACCTATTTTAAGTGCACTTGTGCACTTTTCAAAATAGTTTTGGCCCACTTATTTTAAGTGCACTTGTGCTCTTTTCAAAATAGTTTTTGCGCAAAGATGTTGGTGGGTTGAAATGCTTACTATTTGTGTTGAACTTCTTAATTTTTTAAAAATATAAGGGTGGATAAAATAGAAAAAGTGGATCGGTAGCACCATGTGGAGCTTTGTTTTCAACACGCTGTAAAAATTGCATTAGAAAATGTTGAAAAATGGAGCGCCAGTTGTGAAGTGCGGAAACCTCTGTAAATCGGTTTTTGGATGAATTTAGTCTACTGTTTCGTGCTACCAGTCCACGCGACGCGATGGTGCGGACCGACTAAGAAAGAACGTATTCAAATAATTTGGTGACTATCCTTCATGAAATAAATTCAAAAATTCAAATTCGTTTATTCATATCAACAATACACAATGTAAATACATATTGAAAACATTCCAATGGAACGAACCACGGAGGCTCTATGGATTATCAGTGAGAAATTCAAAATGTGTCATAAGATAAGATATGCACAAATACGAAGATTGATATAACATATTATAACTTTGTGATATTAGTTTGTTGTCGAGTTATAAACGATTCAATATCCAAAAACGCTCAACGCTGACAGGTTAGTCCGCCAGCTTGAAAAATAGTGACTTTTTGTTTTGGGGCTGTAAAGCGGTGATAAGGAGCTTCAAAATAAGGCATCTTGTGATCATTCTATGGTTTGTTCGTACCGGCTGTTTGCTGACAATCAGCAAACTGATAGTCGGCGACAAGTCATGAACTAGTTCACGCAGTTAGCTGTCACTGACACGTCGCTGACTGTATTAATTGCGTACATGAGAACGTTACGAGTTGGTTGAGGGAGGGCAGACCGATTACCGACAACTAATCCGGTGTTCGTACAGAAACTTGACTGTTTGATGACTGTCAAATCAGTCAGCAAATAATTTTCCAGTAAGTTGTCAGATTTCGAAATCAAGTACAATAATTATTCGAATGTAATTTTTTTCAGAATGAAGTAGACAATTTTGAAAAAGTTGTAAACCAGAATGATCTAGGATTTTTCGTCCAACTATCCAAATGTGCCCGAATTTTCCTTTAGAGAGGAAAACATGGACACTTTCTAAAAAATAACAGCACCCAGAAAGGTCAAGGAGGTTTGCTCAGTAATTACCATTCAATTCTCATATATAAAGTATAAACATAAATTCGAAGAAATATGAATCCACACATCGAATGACAAGTTGAAGAAATAAACGCATACTAAGAATTCTGAATAAACGTCTGCAGTGATTATGCATGAGAAATGTACGAAGTATTGTGAATGACTTTTAATAAAACTCGGATAGTAGGGTTTTTGTTACCTGTTCCCTTGTCGCCCAGCCGCGAAGTGTATGCACAAACAGTATTTATTATTCTAGCTATGTAAGTCCAACCCAAAGCTGATGAAAAAATAAACAAAATAACGAATTCTTGAGATTTTGTGGTTCAGCTTTTTCTCACGGGTGCCCATGGAGAGGGAGTAACTGACTGTTTGTGCTGGGGTAGAAATAATATTTTCCCTATACAGGGTATTTTAAATTCGACCCTCACCATTGGTATCTCGGAAACTTCAAGGGATACGAAGCCACTTAAATCTTAGCAAAGTTGTGTATTCAGATAATCGACATCGAAAGTTCCCAAAATGGTTTTAATTTTCTCCTGACTTTATTTGTGATGGGATTTCAAAATAAATTGCACATAAACTCTGCCACATTTTCTCCTCTATAAGACGGCACAATTAGAAATTCAATGTGACGTTTCGTCGTCCTGCAGCGTCAACTTAATTTTTTCTTATAGACGCCAAATTGGATTCTTACACACATGAATAGAATTTTTATTCTGATTTAAAAAATGTATGCCATACATTGACATTGCAAAACCTTATTTATTCCAGAAGTTCCTAGATAGGCCTTGAATTTATTAGATGTCATTTGTTTGCATAGCAACAGAGTTTGGAAGACTGAATATCTCTGCTTATTTATGGTTATTATTGTTATTACCATCAATAAAATTTTCATTTTGTATTCCGGTTTCACCATATCTTTCTATTTCCTTTTAATTTTCATCCAACACCAAATTTATGGTCAACTAACAATCACTGAATTTAGGGCTTAAAAAGTCCATTTAAATGTACAAAATTCCAGTATAGTGTCCGCATGAAAAAACAAAATTGATTATGGAAGTCGAAAGAAGAAATGTCGAATTGGAAATTTGAATACGCCATCTTGCAGACGAGAATAAGTAACAATGACAATATGCAATTTATATTGAAATCCCATCTCGAATAGAGAGAAAAAATAGGGCGGTTTTTGGGATAAATCTGGTGAGCGAAACAAACGTCTGATAATTTCAAGGCCTATCTAGGAACTTCTGGAATAACTAAGGTTTTGCAATGTCAATGTATGACATACATTTTTTAAATCAGAATAAAAATTCTATTCATGTGTGTAAGAATCCCATTTGGCGTCTATAAGAAAAAATTAAGTTGACGCTGCAGAACGACGAAACGTCACATTGAATTTCTAATTGTGCCGTCTTGTAGAGGAGAAAATGTGGCAGAGTTTATGTGCAATTTATTTTGAAATCCCATCACAAATAAAGTCAGGAGAAAATTAAAACCATTTTGGGACGTTCTGTTTTTCTTAAAGTAATCAAGGTTTGACAATGTCAATGTATGACGTATTATGCATTTTTTGAATTAAAATTGAAAGCTCTATTCATCTGTGCAAAAATGCAGTATAACGTCCTTAAGAAATAATAAAGTTGATGCTGGAGGACAAGAGGCGAACCGTCATATAGAAATTCTGAGTATGCCTTCTTGTAAAGGAGAAAACGTGGCACTGTTAATGTGCAATTTATTTTGAATTCCCAATATAAATAAAGTCAGGGAAAAATCAAAACGATTTTGGGAAAATTCAGTTTTTCCGGTACTCTCCGGAAGTACTTTGAATTTCGAAACTTCCTAATTGTCATTTAAGCGACTTCGTATCCCTTACAGTTTCCAAGATCCCAATGGTAAGTGCCAAATTAGAAACACCCTGTATATGGAGACACTCACTAGAAGAAAGAAGTGAAAATACTACAAGGACCTAATAACGTCTTTGAATAATAAAGGGTGTTTATACACTAAAAAGCTAAAACGGCTGAACATAACTACAATTATCAAGATCTGCTTACAAAGCTGTAAGTTTCACAGAGTTCCCAACATGGACAAAAAGAACTCAGACTACGAACATACTTAGACGCAAGACTTAAATCGCGTAATTTCGCATTTTGCAACTGTAACAAAAATTTTCAAAAGATTAGTGATCACAAAAATCGTATTAATTACGATTCTTGAAAGTTATGTCCTCTATTGGTCAGATTACTGTATTCATTACCGGGTCGATAAACAAAATATTGAGCACAAAGCAAAGCGCTGGCTGATATTTAATTGAAATATTTTATTTTTTTATGCCAGGGCACCGCGGCTGCTTTGAGGAGCATAAAGAAACTTTGTTATTCCCATTTTTGAACTACCTAAAGTTAGTAGAGCTGGGAAAATCTCCTCATGTAGATTTTTACACGATCTCGACACCGTCGGGACATAGGAGCGGTCTTATCGACCAGTTCTGGATGTACGAAGTTCGACACGCTTACGATGGGAGGGCGAAGTCAGGCAGGCACATCGCGCGGCGACACCATGAAGGAGCTCTGAGGGGCAAAGCCCGTTGGCGTAGCTAGATCGCCAACGGCCCGTCAGTGCGACGGTGTCCCCTGACCGTCCATTAGAGATGAGTAATTGATCATTAAATGCCTCTTGCGAAGCAATTTTAGTCCTCAATGTAGTTTCGACCCACTGTGATACCTGTCAAGGTCACTGGCTGACTGATGTCCTCTGATCTGTCAGAAGGTTTTGTACGCACAGCGGATTAGCTGTCGGCAAACATTAAGGCCCGTATCGTCAGTCGTCCCTACAATTGTAGGGCGCGTTTATGGCCTCCTTGATTGTCATACTCCTTTCTCTACTTCAAAAATTTCTAGATTACAGTTGTCCCGGGTCAGCGTCAGTGCTCTCCTACTGTGAAGATATGTTTTCTTTTTAAATTATAGGAAATTTGAGGCTGATAAAACATGATATAACTCAAAAGCAAGCACAATTTGATGCAAATAGATGTTTGTGACATAACCTCAAAGAGAGCGCTGACACGGAGAAGTAGAAAACTCTGACAATCAAGGAGGCCATAAAGGTGCCCTACAATTGTAGGGACGACTGACGCAAGAAGTGACAACAAAACATAGACTACAGTGACGTTGGAGAATAGATCACAGAAGATCGATTATCGATCACAGGATGGAATGAATGCGCTGCGTTGCAATATTTCGCC